AGTCGGTAACAATGAGTTCCGATCAACTCATAGCTAACGAGGTATTGTATAAACGCCAACAGCGTTTATACAATACGCCATTGACACCATGGACGAGGTCAGCATCATGCAGATCTGTAAGTCCAACTTCAAGGAGTATGAGGTTTGCAGTGGCAAGGCGCTGCTGTTCCGGTTTGTCGGCAAGGCCGACAAGATGCCATCTCGACGGAGGGATGGAACAGAAAAGAGTGTGCAGGATATAATCACCCTGCTAAAGGAGACGGATCCGGACGACGTGCCTACATTCGTGGCAAAGGAGCTGCACAAGCTGCCCCCGGTCACGTTCGACCACGTGGGTGTCACCAGGCTACTGAAGGACATCAACTTCCTGAAAGCTAGCCTGGATGATGTAGTGAGCAAGTTGGAGGACGCGAATAACACCATCGGTGAGTTGCGAGCTCAGGTAGACTTATTAAGCAACAATGCATGCGCAAGTAGGTCGCCCGAAGCCTCTAACGTGAACACACGTCGTGGGGCGCAAAATGCATCCGTTGGCAGCATTGAGTCGGCGCCTGCGAGTGCGTCACCGGCCGCCGTCACCGCGAGCGATGCCTCGCGCCCCGCCGCCGCCGCCCGCCCCTCCGTCACACCGGAGACGTCACGCGCATGCACGTCTACACCGCAACGTGCCTACGCAGCTGCAGCCGCCAGCCGACCCGTTGATGCGGTTCCGAATTGCGAGCGTCGTAGTAAACAACAAACAGAGAAGAGTAGCAAACTCAGCATCCAACGTGCTACTCCGGCAGCGTCACAAAAGCGGATTTCTGACGAAAAGGGTTTCATTAAAGTGGAAAGGAAGAAGAGGAAGCCCATTCGCCGCAATCTGTGTGGTGCCGCCCCGACCGGACCGAACCATCTGCTGCGTCCTGCAATACCGCCGACGCCGCTGTACGTGTCCCGACTGCATTACTCTACGAAGGAAGAGGAGATCGTAGAGTACCTGCGAATTAAGACCAATTTCTCCCTCAGAGTCGCACGGTTGGAGTCCCGTCACAATGTGAATTTTAATTCCTTTGTGGTGCGGGTGCCAACCGAACATCTGGCGACGTTCATGAAAGAAGACTTTTGGCCGAAAGGTGTTGTGTTCCGGCGGTTCCGAGGCCGGCTACCTGACACCACTCCGCGTCACACGTCGCCGTCTATACGTGTTAATTAGGTTTTTACTAACATAGTTATTATTATTTTTTAATTACTAACATTTAATGTATTACCTATATCTGTATTTATGTGGGCCTACGTTGCCTGACTATAAACAAATAAATAAAAAATAAATAAAAATATAATATAGGCAATATTTTATCTCGGTTTTTCCACGGAAACGAGAAAACGCGTGTGAAACCGCGGGGCACGGCTAGTTAAATATATAAAGAATTTTCATTTATCACAATGAGGAATGTAATAATTAAAGATTACACTATAGGTCTACGAGTTAGCTCACGAAATATACCATTCATTGTCATATGGTTAGAATAGTTGGGGTACGCGAACCCTAATTCAAAACATGGATGTATTATGCCGCAATGTAACTTAGTTAGGAATATAACATAGTTGGAACCCTAGTGATATAATTATTATGTCGGATGACAGACAAACGTGTTTCTTATGTATCAGCTGCTTCCTCTAGATTATATCCAGTGCCGGAGATCTTTCTGATGGGCTTGAACATATAGGTACTTTTGTTAAGAGATTCAGTATCGCTTTGCTTTCTATAATTATATTTTATTAGTGTTACAGGCGGTTTATTAGGGATATTTTCCCGCAGTAAAACGTAGCCTATGTGTTAATCTAGAATGTCAGCTAACTCCATGCCAAATTTGATTACAATCGCTCCAGCCGTTTAGACTTGATGAAGTTACAAACATACACACTTTTATTTTGTGTACTTGTATTTGTGTGATTAGTGTTAAAGTACTAAAAAAAGTTGTGTGGATTAATTCAGGTTGCTATGCAATGTATTGTCTCCAATGGTTTTATCGCACGAGTTGAAGGTAAAGACCTCAAAAAGGTCGTACTCCGGATAAAGAATTTGTGATGCCTCTGGTTACATTGCAAATATCTGTGGGCGTCAGTTATCACTCAACCTCACCCGTAGCTTGCTTAACAAAATAACTGTCAAATATCAATGGATTTAGACTAAAATATTTTTATCATGTTTGATAATATGTGTAGGTATTATAAAATTAACTACTGACATAGTTAAAATGTCTGTGTGGCGTTTTAATTTTTTAAGCATAATCCACCTAACTTTTATAGCAAACAAAAGCTTTCAACGGCTCCTTGAGTAATGATCGCGGGCGTGTGACTCAGCTTCGTGGCTCTCATCGTAATAAGAAGAAATAGGTCTTTTGTCTTTAAAAATGAAGACACATTATTTGCATGGTAACTTCAATTGTATATCTCTTTGCATTTCGCAAATTACAAAGGAAACACTTCCGAAATCTTGACTTATTTTGAGGAATTTCAATTGTTTAAGTGCTTTTTTGGGTTCCCTATTCGCAATTTGGTTGGAATATTTTTGAAGTGAAAACTTCTTTAGCAGCGTTGTACACTTTTTTTGTATGGGTAAAAAATGTAAAACTCGCGTCAGCTTAAACAAGTGGGCTGATCGCATCATGACACACAATAAAATTGGAAAGGTTTTGACATTGGACGAAACATAGTAATATTTTATTTTATCGTATTATAATAATAAGACTCTATCTAGGACGTCCACGTGGCAGCTTTATTGCGAAGAAAATGCATTTTTTTACAATAGATATCGCTAGGTGCGCTTAAATGTGATTCATGTAAGTTGATTTCTTTACAATAGATGTCGCTAAGTGCGCTGAAACGTGATTCACGTTGGTTGATTTTTCTGAGAGATAAACTTTTTTAATGTAATATAAATTGTCATATTTGTGTACGATAGCGCAATAAATAAATATTGTATTCTACCTCATACATGATAGTACTTTTATAATGATAATTAAAACAATTCGTGCAAAATTATTCCCTAACCATTCCAAAATATTAAAAAGGCACAACGTTGTTAATTGATATTCAAGTTTTCACTTCTACCGGCACTCCTGGAGTTGCACTCCGTCGTTTTTTTTATCAGTTTCATGGTACTCTTGTTATAATCTTACATTTTTGCCATGTCTGTCTAGGCGAGTGACACAAAGCTAGGTTTGTAAGTTTATTGCCCAATATGTGATGGGATGTTTTTAAGGGTTCCGTAGCCAAATGGCAAAAAACGGAACCATTATGGATTCGTCATGTCTGTCTGTCCGTCCATATGCCACAGCCACTTTTATTAAAGAAATTTACTGTTGAGACTTGGTAAGTAGATGTATTCTATGAACCAAAACAAAATAGTATAATATCATCAATCCCATACTTGTGGTGTAAGAGTAGGACTTACCATGCAAACTTCCACCGAAAATTGGTTTGAACGAGATCTAGTAAGTAGTTTTTGTTTAAAACGTCATAAATCGTAAACCGCAATTTACCTTTGATTCATTCAACTTAAAAAATAAAATAAATAAAACTCCAATAACTAAATTAAAAAAAGCTATTATTAAAACATCAATCAAAGTTACGACGAACTACAAGAACATTTATATTATGTTACTTGCTGCTACGGAACCCTTCATAGGCGAGTTTGACTCGCACTTGGCCGCTTTTTTATATCTAATAGGAAAACAATGATTGACGGATGCATTTACATACAACTTTTTCTATATGTATAACTTATTATTGAACCATAACTTTTAATTACAAGACTACATAAATAGGTATAAGACAATATCTTTTAATGGAAATTGTAAAAGTAATCAAACAAATGTATTGCTCTGAAAACAAAGAAACGACATTTAAAGTCTTTTACTTAATACAACAATTCCTTCCTTTACAATAATATTTTAAAATAATCAAATAAAAATATCACGGCTCGTTCTGTCAAAGCGACACCATCTATCAAGTGACAGTTTCATTATTATGGTCGCCCGAGAGCTATACAAACTACTTAAGAAATAACAAATTAAAGAACTGACTGTAAAGAGGTTCTTTACATAGGTATAAAACAAAGTCATACAGTAAATCTAATAAAAAGTGATCAATTTATAAAATCCAGGCTAAATAAGTTTTTTAAAGACATTAATTAGTTCTGCAATTGGGCGTTTCTCGACTGAGAAAAAAGACGATTTAATTCTTCAGTGTTGTTTCAAAGTCTCTTAGCCAAATTGAGAGCATATAAAGGCGTGAGGGGGATTTACTCGCGTGCCAAAGCGTTTCTTTAATTAAGCAGCCTCCTCCTTTTTTACAGTTAATGACCGCCAGTGTCCACATTGAATAGAAATACTGTAAAAGAAAAAAAAACTTTTTAATATATCTTTATTGCCAAGCGGCTGCTTTTGTGGATTAATGGAAAAGTAAAATGATGCCGTAATGAAATGCAAGTGCAACTGTCCGTGTGTCCTTCCGTCTGTCAGCCAGCCGGCTAATCGATGGCTATCTCACAAACTTTAACAGATGGATGGATGTTTTTTTTTTCACAGTATTTTTATTACCGTTATTATGAAAAATAAGTGGGTCTTCTTCTATGAAAAGTTTTAACAACGATTTCCAAAAGCGTTTTTGTAAATGCCCATGGTAATGGCTCAAATGTGAATATTATTTATTAATCTAGCATGATGAGAACAGAACACCCTGGGGTTGGTTTCGACTCGCACATGATTTCATGTCTTCTTTCTTATTCAATGTGGAATCGATTTTATTTAGAATACTAGCCGTGCCCCGCGGTTTCACACGCGTTTTTCTCGTTTCCGTGGAAAAACCGAGATAAAATATTGCCCATATTATATTTTATTTATTTTTTATTTATTTGTTTATAGTCAGGCAACGTAGGCCCACATAAATACAGATATAGGTAATACATTAAATGTTAGTAATTAAAAAATAATAATAACTATGTTAGTAGAAACCTAATTAACACGTATAGACGGCGACGTGTGACGCGGAGTGGTGTCAGGTAGCCGGCCTCGGAACCGCCGAAACACAACACCTTTCGGCCAAAAATCTTCTTTCATGAACGTCGCCTGATGTTCGGTTGGCACCCGCACCACAAAGGAATTAAAATTCACATTGTGACGGGACTCCAACCGTGCGACTCTGAGGGAGAAATTGGTCTTAATCCGCAGGTATTCTACGATCTCCTCTTCCTTCGTAGAGTAATGCAGTCGGGACACGTACAGCGGCGTCGGCGGTATTGCAGGACGCAGTAGATGGTTCGGTCCGGTCGGGGCGGCACCACACAGATTGCGGCGAATGGGCTTCCTCTTCTTCCTTTCCACTTTAATGAAACCCTTTTCGTCAGAAATCCGCTTTTGTGACGCTGCCGGAGTAGCACGTTGGATGCTGAGTTTGCTACTCTTCTCTGTTTGTTGTTTACTACGACGCTCGCAATTCGGAACCGCATCAACGGGTCGGCTGGCGGCTGCAGCTGCGTAGGCACGTTGCGGTGTAGACGTGCATGCGCGTGACGTCTCCGGTGTGACGGAGGGGCGGGCGGCGGCGGCGAGGCGCGAGGCATCGCTCGCGGTGGCGGCGGCCGGTGACGCACTCGCAGGCGCCGACTCAATGCTGCCGACGGATGCATTTTGCGCCCCACGACGTGTGTTCACGTTAGATGCTTCGGGTGACCTACTTGCGCATGCATTGTTGCTTAATAAATCTACCTGAGCTCGCAACTCACCGATATTGTTATTCGCGTCCTCCAACTTGTTTACTACATCAGCCAGGGTAGCTTTCAGGAAGTTGATGTCCTTTAGCAGCCTGGTGACATCGACGCGGTCGAACGTGACCGGGGGCAGCTTGTGCAGCTCCTTTGCCACGAATGTAGGCACGTCGTCCGGATCCGTCTCCTTTAGCAGGGTGATTATATCCTGCACACTCTTTTCTGTTCCATCCCTCCGTCGAGATGGCATCTTGTCGGCCTTGCCGACAAACCGGAACAGCAGCGCCTTGCCACTGCAAACCTCATCCTCCTTGAAGTTGGACTTACAGATCTGCAGGATGCTGACCTCGTCCTTGGTGTCAATGGCGTTTTGTATAAACGCCAACAACTCGTTAGCTATGAGTTGATCGGAACTCATTGGTACCGACTCACGACGGCTGTTGCCGCGTGGAGCGCGAATTAAATTCTTACTGTACAGTGGCGCACGACCGCTTGCAAGTACGCATCGCACTGCATTACTAGCCTGCATCAAGCGCGCGTGGATTTCCTTAGCAGAGTTATTTTAGAAATGTATTTATTATACTCTTCAAAGATCTTATACTTACAATCATCAACAAATATATTTCGAAAAAGATTATTACAGGATTTTATGATAATAAAAAACTCTATGGCCCATAACGTACCAACTCTTAACATCTTACACACGTGATAACTTTTAAACGAAATATCCGATTGAGATGAAACAAAAAGTATTTTACTTCTACATAAATACTCTTGATAACATAATGCTTAATTTCGATAAAGATTAATATTACGATACATATTTAACGTAGTTTTTTATCTTCAGACGATTAAATAATTATTTTGAACACAAAATCGGTTATTGCGATTAAACCATGATAGCTAGATATATGTTCTTCAGGACTTTTTTGTAGGTCTTAATGGGATCTACAAACCCGTAGTATATTATTTTGTTCTATTGTCAATAGTTTTTGCAGCGCACGCAAAAATAGGTTTTCGATTTTACACCTTGTGTTACAAAATAGCAATTTTATTACGGATCCCTTATTTTGAAAAAAAAATATATAGCCTATAGCCTTTCTCGATAAATGGATTACCCAACACTGAAAGAATCATTTAAATCGGACCAGTAGTTCCAGAGATTAGCGCGTTCAAACAAACTGCAGCTTTATAATATTAGTATAGATTTAGTTTGGGATGGAACATGCAAAATAACTTTAAGCAAGTTGAAAGAGCTCAAACAACAGTTATCTAACTAACACGACTTTGTTATACATTTAGTAGTAATGTAGAACCAATTTTTTGTCCGTCCTTCATCAATCATTATATTATGTACTTAGGCGAGGACTGGGTAAATACAGCCTATACTGGTATTCAATACAGATTTCCTGGTGTGAATTTGATTACCGGTAGCGGAGATAATCTTCGTAGAAATTGCAACTGAACTTGACTAGCAGATAAACAATTAACCTCAGTATAGATTGAGGTAATTCATAGTGTACTTAATCTATTTGGAGTATAACGCCGGTAATATAACATTAAAAGTTACAATTTGCCATGTTATTTATATTGTTTTCGAATTTATAGTCTGCTAGTAGCCGACCGCCAAATCGTCCACGTTATTGGAGAATCCCTTTAAAAATCTAATAGTATATTAAGTTTAATTTCAAGTCATAAACTATATGTGAACTAAATTTCATCCTAATCCATTCTGCCGTTTTTAAATGATTGAGTAAAAAACATACATACTTAAAAATCTTTCACATTTTTAACATTAGTCGAATTCTTTCTCACTGTCACTCCTTTGGGAATTGATAACGACAAAATTTTAAAATCGATGCAGATTCTATTACCGACCGTTTGTGAATAAAGGGAAAACTCAGTAGCCTGTATTTAAGTATTATATTATACTAGCGCCGCCCGCGACTGCGTCCGCGTTAACATAATTCTTTTTTAGAATCCCTCAGGAACCTAACATTTTTTCGGGAAAAAAGTATTCTATGTCTCAATGTCTAAAATTTCATCGAAATCTGATCAGCCGTTTTTGCCTGATTGGGGAATAAACATACAAACTTTAGAATTTATGATATTAGTGGGAAAAAAAGATGAGATACCTTTTTTTTTTTTTTTTTTTTTTTTTTTTTTTTTATGTTGGGAAAATGCGTTATGCATACCCCGCCGGTATGTGACGGGGTTGTGTGGGACTCCTCCTCCCCCCAAATCCCGCCCACCCGCCCAGCCAGGCTGGCTCGGCGGCTGTTCGGGATGAGGGGGGGGGGGGGGGGCTACCCACTAAAAACCCAACAGTGCTCCCTCGTCTGCCGGAACGGGTTTTGTGGGATCCGGGTGACGCTCCACGTTACCCGGCAGAGGTTCCTCCTCCTCCTGATGGTCAGGGGGATGCCCTGGAGCACCTAGGCATCCTCCCTCGACGGGTGAGACTGCGCAACGCGAGCGACGGACTACCCTGTCCGCCGCCCGCAGTCCCACTAGGGTGGAAAGAGGCGGTCGTACTGCCGCCGTCTTCCCCCCGGTCGTCGGCGACGGAGAGGACCGGCCCGGGCGTCCCCCTCGCGGGCCCTCTCTGCTGTCTCCTTCTGTAGGATGACTTCCTCACAGAAGGAGACGACCGCGTTCCAGGATCTGTCGCTGTCCAGCATCGCTTTAACGACGCTGGGCAACGAGAGATCCCTTCCCACTGCCATGACCATATCATGGCGCTGCCGAGACCACGACGAGCACTCTTCAAGGGTGTGCTGCGCCGTGTCCTCGGCAGCGCCACAATGATGGCATGACGGGGTCGCTTCCCTCCGTATGCGATGCAAGTAGCTGCCAAAACATCCATGCCCTGACAGCACCTGCACCAGACGGAAGGTCAGCGACCCATGCCTCCTTTCCTTCCATTGCCCCAAGACTGGCCGCAGCGCCTCCAGGGTCCTCACCCCGAACTGCTGCGCCCCCAGCTCCTCGGCCCACTGCTCCATGACTAGCTCATCCAGTCTCCTCCTGTGGGCTAACACCTCCTCTGATGTTAGTCTCTCTCCCCGTTGCCGGGCCTCCGCCCTTTGCCAATATAGGCTTGACAGTGCCCTCGCTTCAATCACCCATGGAGGCGACCCCACCAGTGCGCATACGGCCGCGAACGACGTGGTGCAGTATGCCCGCGCGGCCCTTTGCGCCACTACCCTTTGCGGCCTCCGTAGCAGGGCCTCACTCCCCGCACCTATGCGATCTGCCCAAATGGGCGCCCCGTATAGGGCCATACTTCTAATGACCCCAGCGTACAGCTTGCGGCAGCTGGCGCTGGGGCCACCAATATTCGGCAGCATTTTACCGAGCGCCGCCGCCGCACTAATCAGCCTTGGGGCCAGCTGCTTGAAGTGGGCATCGAAGCGCCACTTCGCGTCTAGCACTAACCCCAGGTACTTCAGGGTGGGCTCTACTGGCACTCTGGCTTCGCCCACCCTGACATACGCCCCGGCCGGCGGCTTGCCCCTGGATCCGTGGAACATTACCGCCCTTGTCTTCCCCGCTGCCACCTTGATCCCCAACATCCCAATCCTCGCCATTATTAGCGAGGCACTCGCCGACCCCAACCTCCGGACGTCCTCGTATGCTTTGCCCCTAACCGCTATCAGCGTATCATCCGCATAGCAGATGACTGCTGTTCGGGGCAATAGCGTTCCTCTGAGGACCCAGTCATACGCGAGGTTCCACAGGAGTGGCCCTAGCACCGACCCCTGTGGAACTCCGCATACCATGCTCCTCACCTTGACCTCCCCACCCGCATCATAATAGAGGAGTTCCCGGTCTCGCAGGTAATTCCCCACCACTTTCCTTAGGTAGAGAGGGACCTCGTGGTGGTGCAGGGCCTTCTCGATACAACTGAAGGGGAGTGTGTTGAAAGCGTTCGCTATATCCAGCGATATAGCGAGAACACACTCCCCTCTCCCCGTTGCCTCCTCTGACATCCTCTTCAGCTCCTGCACCGCATCCACTGTGGACTTGCCCCTGCGGAATCCAAACTGGCGTGGCGCCAGGTTTGGCCCGGTCTCCTCTAGGTGCTGAACAATGCGGTCGGCAATGACTCTCTCCAAGAATTTGCCGACCTCGTCCAGCAACACTACCGGGCGGTACCCCGCTGGTTGGTCCGCAGGACGCCCCTCCTTCCGCAGCAGGCAAAGCCTGCCCCTCTTCCATGCACTGGGGAACACACCCACGTCAAGGCACTCGTTCAGTAGTGCCCTGAAGTGCTCACCCAAGTGCTTGAAGGCAATCGGCAGGACTCCGCGCGGCACTCCATCCGGGCCAGGAGCCTTCCTTTTGCCCCGCAGGCGATCGATGGCCGCCTCCATTTCGACATCAGTGACTGGTGGGGCCGGTGCGGAGACCGCATTCCCTTCCTCCGTCGGCGGCACCAAAAGCGGAGATGTGGTGGGCGCTTCTTCTGGGAAGAGTTCAGCCACCGTCTGCGCCAGGAGGTCAGGGTCCATGTCCTCCAGCTGGACGGCCTGCTGACCCATGCCTTTTCTGACTCCTTTGTATGGTCTGCCCCATGGGTCCCGATCCAGCTCCCCGAGAAACTCCTCCCAGGCTTCATCCTTGGCTTTAGCAATGGCCACCTTCAGGCTCTCCTTCCTCTCCCGGTAGACGCGCCACAGCTGCTCCTCCTCTGCTTCGTCCCTTCTCCTCCGGCGCCTGCTACGCATGACCGCCCTTCGCGCCCTCATGGTTTCTGTCCTAATAGCCGCGATTTCCTCGGTCCACCAGTATACCCCGCTCTTCGGTGGCATACCCCGGACTCGTGGCATAGCCGAGTTGCATACCTCCCTAAGGGCGCTGGCGAGTCGCTCCACCTTCCCCTCCACCCCGTCCGGGATGTGCGCGTCCATGCACCAGGCCTGTGCTGTCGCTGTCTCCTCCGCCCGGTCCTTATCGAGTTTTGCCACCGCCCATCTGAGGAACAGCTGCCATCCTCTGACTTGCGCTGCCGGTCGCGCGCTGGGGCGATTCTGTGCCTGCGTGGGTGAGACCTCAAATCGGATATAAGCATGGTCCGACAGGGTCTCGGCCCCACTCAGTACCCTCCAGTCCCTGATCCGGGCTGCCAGGATGGACGTGGCAAACGTGATATCCACCACGGACCCTCCCCGACGTCTCACACAAGTGTAGGCCGTTCCTCTGTTGGCGATTTCCAACCCAGACGCAACGGCCCACCCCAGGATCACCTCCCCTCTCGCATCGTCGACCGGGGACCCCCATGCGGAATGCTTCGCATTGAAGTCCCCCATTACAACGATCTGCCTAGGCGCCATCCTATGTATCACGCCAGTCAGGTTCTCCGCCCAGTCTTGTAGTTCCACCACAGATCTGTTCGGCGAGAAGTACGTGGCTAGC